CTCAATGTTTGCATTAAAATAGAAATTAATTTAAAATTGTAAATAAAATTAAAGATAAAAACCTCGGGCACAAAGTCGGCCAAACAATTCCGCGTCCTCAACGGTTATACTGACGGCCGGTATTTTTGGTGCATTTTTGTATTTATATTCTGTGGAAACAATTATTAAAGTAAACTGCTTTAATTATAAATATCAAATATTGCAAACATTTACCATTTGCTCCCGTATGCGGCGAGTCTATTGAAAAATCAGTAACCGAACGAATCTATAAATAGATAAGAGTATGAAATAAAACCATATTATCTATGCAAATTCTCTGTTATAATAATAATAATTAAGTTATAAGTGGCCTATTAGTGAACATACGAGTGCAGCGATGGCCCCATATTTGGCCGCTTCAGACGCGCCGTTAAGTCTATACGGAGCGGCCGTGTTGTAGCTCTCGTAGGCGTAGTTGAAGACAACAAACTTTCCCTTCACTTCATGCGATCGTTGCTTCAATTCGTCAAATGATTTGACGACAACCACATCACCTCTCAATACGCGGCCATTTGTGCCCACACTGTATCCCAAACCCAATATGTTTAGCTTCTTCTCAAACGGGCTAACCATTTGTGCCCATTCTTTGCCTCTTTGCTGACAATCAATTACAAGTTATAATTAAGTATAGTTTCGTTGCAATTACAGTACTTTATTCTATAAAATAGCCATAAAATAGCATGGTTGTTGTTTACTTAAATTACTAAATTAATAAGTATCTAAGCACATACCCAAATAGGAACACTCAACTTTTCACTGCCCACAATATCGTGCCCCTCTCTGGTCAAGCGGTCGAGCATATAATCAATAGAGTTCTCGAGATTAGCAGTTCCAACAAATCTCGACCCAAACTTGTCAATAAATACGGCCAACTCGTCGTAAGTGACGCCCCGATCGGCGCCAGTCATCACAAAATCAATGATTTTGTTCACATCTGTCGACAAATTGCGGATCTCTTCGCGCAACTCATGTGTAAATTTTGGCAATGAATCACAAATACTGTCATCAAATGTTTTTGGATTACATTTAATGGAACCGATAGTTAACGACAATACTAATAATCTTAATGTAACCAACATTTTTAACATGATTTAATTATTATTATACTGTACTATTATTTATATACAAATTAAATAAGTAATTATTATAGAAAAACTATAAAATATATAATTACATTATTCTTTAAAAATTATTTTAGATAAAAACATTTTAGAAAATACAGATATGAGATGCAATTCACCGTATGTTTATTGAAATTATTAAAAACATTTACACATGTATATCAATCGTAATTAAATTATATTAATTAATAATTTATCAATTACGTTATTCAGTATATTGTGAATTTATTCTAAAATACTAATCAAGTATTGTCATAGTTATAACAAAATAGTAGTTTATTTTGTTTGATTATGATAATTAAAAAATAAGAATTTATGATAAATATATTTAAAATTAATAATAATTTTAATGTTTATATAACAACTCTAATTACATACTCTTCTAAATAATATTATAAATATTGTAGTCACCATAAGTCTATTGTAAAACAATTGATAACAGAAAGCACCGGTAGCCTAACGTCAGACCCTATCGGGGAAGCATCACATCAATTGATGCGACGGCATATGCGGTGGCGGTGATCACTGCCGTGTTTCTGTCCAACTCATCCGTGTCCATCACTGTCATCGTATCGCCATTCGTGTGATGAAAGTAAAAGTAGTGTTCGTTATGGGTCTGGATGTGACTGCCGGGTACGCCCTTCTGCATCAGCTCACCGATGTCGGGCCCTTTGGTCTCCGGGTACAGATTAGTGGAGTTTAGCGGCGCCAACATCTTTAATATCTCGCTCATTATACACTTCCCAATCGGATTGGAGCCCGAATAGGTCAACCCATGCGGCGAGAAAGTGCCCTCATCTGACTCCATGGCCAAACTGACCTTGTGCAGCTCGTGTTTGTGCTCCTTGAATCATAATCATTTATAAGACAT